TTCGCCTCTCGCAAGCAAGTGATTAGCCTTCACCATGCTAGAGATATAAGAAATCTACCTTGAATCACTGCATATTGCAAGAAAACCTACTTACGCAACCAAAGCAACCAAATAATAACGAATGAAGTGAAGTGAAAACCATTTCTTCTCCTAAAAATCCTGACTCCAAACCCTTGATTATGGAACACCCTATATACAGGATGTCCCAAAGTTATGGGCGCCAGAATGCAGAAACTGTTACGGTACAAATAAGTCATTAAATTCAAGTTACCCGCAATTGGTTGGTTCCACAAGTAGGTCTTCTTTCAATATGCATGGTTACTGAAGTCAAAATTCCAATACCTTTCAGATAGCGGAGGCTCATTCAATGCCACTTGAAATCACATGCATGCGAGCGGCGGAAGAGCATTGCGAAATTCTTTGGGATCCTTAATATAACTGTGATGAAGGCTATTAAACGATATAGAAAAGAAGGCTGAATCAGAGACAAACCAGTAAAGTTAGAAAAGGCCAATGTTTCCAAAGAAAGGACTATTGAAATGGTTCGTCTGCCAGTTGGTCGGGATCCCGGGTGAGCCATCAGAATTAAGGCAATGGGCACGGCATATCGGAGTTATCGCGTTGAAAGGATGTCATGCAAAAGCTTCATTGCCATTTCTATCGTATGCGGAAATTTTGCTTCAATTCCGATCTCAACAGACCCTGCAGGGTCAAAAATGGAGAAAGTCGCAGACCTACTTGAGGATGTTTTTTTACGATAAAGCCATCCCTCAAAACCAGTGCTCAAATAGCGTACTGATGGGCGTAATGAAGAGTTGATCCGACTACAATTCCTGAAACATCTCATAGCCTTTCCAGCAAAACGCTACTCCAGCCCAAAGCAAAGCTTGCCCGCGAGTGGTGCCGGCGGCAGCTGCCCGACGGTAAAAAGTAATGACCATCCTATTTTCCAGAACTTGACTCACTTGACTCCCCCGTATGGTCCATGATAAGAAAAGGACCTGTAGAGTTTGCATTCCCAGTGTGGAGTCCTAGAAAGCAAGACTGAAGAACGGTCGGGAAGAAATGGAGAAGGATACCTCCGTGTCACAGTCGATCAGGTCGATAGCAAACTTTGGGCCTCTATCCGCGCTAGTGGGGGGTATATTGGATTGTCATCGTAGCGTATTGTAGCAAATGTTGTTGGCTAGCGTGCATAGAAATTCCATCTCTTTCGCAGCAGCTGAGAAGCTTCAAATATATCGCTATGAACTGACGTCAATAATCTTGAGACACCCTGTATATATACATAATATATATGTATATACATATATATACATATATATGTATATATATGTACATATACTGTATATATATTCACATATATATATACATATACATATACAGTAGCGCTCAAAAGTCTTCGGTGAAATGCTTCGACGCTTTTTCGTACATAACTTTTTTCTTAGTAGAGCAAATCGCGCAAAGTTTGGATATGTTTAACTAGAGCATATTTCACCCTATCCAACACTATTTGACTGCGAAGCTGCAATATCTACAGATAGAGCGAGCTGTTTGTCGCTAAAACTGAAGTTGTTGACGTCTGCTGTTAGGCATTACAGCTCGTATANGAATTTGCGTCTTTTTCGTCTTTTCCTTATGAGTAGCTTCAAAACGAAGTAATCGAGGAGGAAAAATACCGTTGAACCCAGCTCATCGAGCTCTACAAGATGGTGTCTTGAAATGTCAAAAATGCTTTATTTTGCATTGCGCCATGCACTTGCACCCCCCTTTTCGCGACTTCAACACCCCGCCGCCAGCAGATCTAATCCCCCATTCAAATAATTATCATTCGAAAGCCTCCAAATTCCCGCCACTACAGTGCCCGGCCGCATGCGTATCCAAACACGCCCTGCAGGAAACCGCTCAGAGACGTATCCAAACACGCCCTGCAGGAAACCGCTCAGAGACAGGCCTACGGCAGGGCAGGTTGCGGAGGGAGGTTTTCGTCAAGGGTTGACCTAAATGTATATCAATCGATAGCATTTTCCACGGGGAATCTAAAGTGTATAACTCAGCTACAAAAAGACCTACGGGGAGGGAAAAAACATTGTTTTGTGATTTGGGCTCGACGAAGTTCGAAGTTTGGAGCCATACCGAGGGAGAAATTTTGATCTACGGCAGGGTGTACCATAAAAGTCTTGCAGACAATAAAGAGTTTTCTACGACAATGGAGTGCTTCAACACCATCTCCACAGATTCCGTAGAAAAATTCCCCCAAAAATGGAAAAATGCCAAAAAATCGACTCGAAAATCAGTCCCTACAAGCAATAAAGCGTGCACCCTATGTGCATGCAATCACTTTTCGGATAGAGCTCAAGGCATGGCGCAATGCAAAATAAAGCATTTTTGACATTTTAAGACACCATCTTGTAGAGCTTGATGAGCTGGGTTCAACGGTATTTTTCCTCCTCGATTACTTCATTTTGAAGCTACTTATAAGGAAAAGACGAAAAAGACGCAAATTCGCGGTATTCTCGCGAATTTT